AAGGCCAGGAATAACTTAAATAACTTTGCAAAAATAGGTATTTCGCCCTACTAGAATGGATATTATATGGACAATAAATTTTAATAACTTTTTAGCTTGAAAAAATACTTTTCAAGATGGAATTTGTTTGGACATAGAAAAATTTCCTTTATCACAGGTGAAAACCTATCTCTAGAGGTCAAAAACTTTCCGTTTATTTCACACCTGCCCTGGAGAGCATAAAGACAAAGAATTGTACTATATGGTTTACACGTTACAACACAAATTACACTGTACTTCTCTCCTTGTGTAAATAAACATATCAGAAAGAGAATGAAACTAAAATCTTGAAGTAGAAGGGAAAGAGAAGAAAAATAAAAGAGTAAGAGCGGATATGATAGAAAAGAAGCAGAAGAAAAACATTGAGTCAGCTTGTCCTGGTGGCACTTTATATATTTTATTTCCACCAGTTAACAGTATCTACATTTTCTAAGATCAACATATTCCATTTTCTCTGTTATCATCACTGGGCTCTGTCATATAATTTTACATCATTTATTATCAAAATTTATGACTATAATAAATTCTTGAAACTACTTCTACATGTGATCAGATCAAAGTATAAATTTTGCTAACAGACATATTCTGTATCACCTTATAGATTTTTCCTGTATATTTTATGCTGTTGTTAGAAATTTGTTACAACAAATCCCAACACTATCAGGCCTCAATGGAGTTTTCCTTATATTAAAAAAAAGAAGTGCCAATATTCATATAAAACAGTACACTGTGGGATGGAAAATTTGATAACCTGTAAATATCATTTCAAATATACACAAATTAAAAGGTTATCCTACATGCCTATTCATTTTACATATCAAGAAGCCCATGAAGAAAACATTATAAAAGGCAGAATTTGTTAAAAGGCCACTGCGGCTAACTTTATGTTGCTGGAGTCAATAATATAGACACTGTCAATTTCCTGGATGTCTCGAGGTTGGAAGTTGATTCCATCAAGGCAAACATCAAGTGATTCGACTTTATCTAGATGACTCAACAGCCAGACTTCTTAACCACTTCTTTCAAATGGATTGTTTGGGTCAGGTTACTCCACTGCCAGGTCAGTCAAGGCATCAGAGACCTCTGTGTTGACCTGCGTGGAAATGCTTGCTTGTGTGACGTTGAGATAAATGTCATACTGCTGGTCTAGGCCAAGGTAGCAGTCACTCATGAGATACAGTGTGTAGATATACCTAAAATATAAAAATAGAACAAAAATGTAAAACCACCTTTCTTATCACTCACAATCATATTCATTGTTTTGGAACTTTGGTGGTAAGATTCTGCTTACCTTCCAGGTATTTCAGGGGTATAAAAAGAAAGGCAAGCAACATGATGATTTCGAACATATCCTACTCTTTTTAAAGCAATAAGTTCTCTCTTATCTACTTCGCCTAATATCAAAAACCAGCCTTCATCTTTTGATTTGGGAAATCGAGGGGTAACTGCACAGTTCTCTTGCTTTCCCTGTAAACAAGAAGAAAAGATAAAACATTAACAATGTCTAGGCTTTCTATACTGCTTGGTTGTGGTTAAAAGGCTATGTTGTCTTACTTGAAGGCCATAAGTCTACATGGTTCAGCATATCTATCTGGGATGTGTTTTTCTTCCTGTCTGGTTTGGTGTCTTTAATATGAGCACCTACCTTTCTTCAGATTCTCAGAGCACATTATAGATACAACTTTGTGACTACCAGAATATTTAGTTCAGTTAGGATAGAAATCTCCGGATCTTGACATCAGATTAGTAAATCCTCATGCTATTCTTACAGTTAATATTAATACCCCACTTGCAGATGAACAAATCGAGATACAGCCATGTTAACCAAATCATCCAAATCCTTATTCACAAGGAACTGATGCTTAGGAAAACAAACAAAAAAAGCCATTCAAGACTACATTCTGGACCTCAAGATAATGAGCACTGTGTCATATAAATACCTTTCTCCCGCTCAAGAACACAA